CCATAAGGCAAAAAATCCCTCATTACGAATCACTTTTGACCAAACATCAAATGCACCGGTATATTCTGGTTTCCCATCGATGACACGCATGTTCTGCACTCTGAAAATCTTTTAGGCTACTAAAGAAACATATTTTTTTCATGCCGTTTATTTTTTTTGAAGTTTCAAAAAGTTGAAAAAATGAGTTTTAAAAATTTCTCTTAAAAAAAATTCTGAGTTGCAGACATTCAGTCCACCACTGCTCGATGCACATGCGATGTCTTTTCAGCAACCACCCGAATAATAGATTATCTTCTCGTGTGACCACTCACAAATATATAACGACTACCGGTTGTAAGTGAATACAGTAACGTGTCCTGCTCATCAGATTTTACTTTCTCGGATGATCTAAAAGGCATCTTGGGTGCCATATATCCCACGAAGAGTCTGTTTGTTCACTTGATTACGAAGAAGCATGCCGAACATCTTCCAATTTATTGCTCTGGCAACTACTAAAACTCGACTCGACTCGTCTCGGCTGTTCCTCTGCATCTCCGTTACCGCTATTTCGCGACGAGTCTCGTCGACGCCGCTTGACAGTTTGCCAGATGCGCTGTGTAGCGATAGCCGGTGTTCGGCTATTAGCTTCACCTTATTCGCTTTCAGCTTTACCTAAGCATCAGCTTTATAGATGCGGGGAAACCCCTAACTGATAACCGTTTTTCACTTGCTTTTCTTGCTTTTACTTTCGCAAAATTAACCTTGTCTTTGCGATATCAACAGGCATTGATGCTATTGTGGTTGCTAATCCGCTAATCATGGATGCTGAAAAATGCAGTAAGATGCCATCCTTGAATTTGCCTGTTGCCAAAAGAGCTTCCTTTGATTGTGAATAGGTTGCCAGCTGAGCGGCATTCACAACCATTGCTCGAAGAACAGTAGGTCCGCAACCCTGTAATAACCTTTCATGCCTTATTTCGACTTATAACAGTCTTCTACAGTAGCCCAGATGATCTCAGCATCTGAAATTTGATTGTTTTTCCATGTAAACTAAACCACCTTCTACTAGTGCTAGTCGCTTTGAAGCTGTTCGAGAATATCGGTAATCGATGAACAGTCACATAAGCGGCGAAGAAACAAAAACAAACAAGCATTTGCCTCAAAGAAACGAGGGAAGGAAGCAAGCAAAAGACGACTACTAGGAGAATGGATATCAAACGAGGTAGCTTGGATCGTAAAAGTCATGAAAGCTTCATCAGGAGCAAAGTATTAAGATCAATAGGTCGATTTAAAAAAAAATGAACCTGAAACAGAAACTTACCCGCCACAGCGTTAAAACTCCTTCTTCTTTGACCACACGTATCAGCGCATCAAAGACATTTTTATACTTACGCTGCTGATCAGGTGGCAGTCTGAATGTATAGCCACAAGCAATTATAAAAAGAAAGAAAAAAATGAAGGTAAACCTATCCACCTCTACCAGTCGCTTGGATTTTTTATTATATGTAGGCCTTCCAAAAACAGCCATAGCTGTAGCATATTACTAACAACGAACATTCTTTTGTAAAAAATAAGGAGTGCTCGAAAGTAAGCTGAGCAGACATGGTCGAAAACTAAATTGGCATGGCTTCCGAGAAAGGATTCAAGTCAGCCAAGAATTTTTTCTTTGTCCTATAATACATTAGTAATCTCCAGTAAAATTCATAAAACCAGTAAATAAGACAGCTAGCCACTCAGCTGAAGAAACTATGAATATCATGGCGATCCAAGCCAGATCATGACTTTACTGCTCCAAGCGCAAAAATTCAAAAGTCAAAACTTCACGACGTCAACTCTCTGTAAGACGCGGAAGCATTCGGATGTAATCTGAATGGTAGCAAATACTGAAAGAAATAATTCGTTGACAATTGTCAATGACTCTTTCTTTCCGGGATAATTCAGAAACAAGCCGACGGCAATTTTGGTTGCTTCAAGGCAATCGACAAAATTTCATCTCACAAAAAATCCGTCATCCTCCACACACCAATTAAGTCGGCGGAGCAATTAATCAACGAAAAGGATGTTTTTTTTTTTCGTAAAATTTATGCTTGTCAGAAATTCGGGTTAAACAATTACTGGATGGTTATCAGCTTGTTTCTGAGCAATCAACGAAAGAAGCAAACAACATCCAACGGCTACTTGCTGTTGCCAGTTGCTATCCCTGAATTACTTCCAAATGCCCCCGCTTCTCGTACAGAGTAAATACAGAGGAGTATTGACTTTTGATAGGACAATAAAAGCAGTTACCGTCCATCGGCGCACATTCGAATAAGCGCAACATCGGCGGGTGTTCCAACAAATGAACCTACTGCACCGGCTGCCAAGGCAATACTAGCTTTCATTGCAAATGTTGGCGCTTTTTCGCCCCTGAAAATTTTTCCCCATTTTTAACACTGCTAAAAAATCTACCGTTTAAGCATGAAAAATTTTAGCCATGATTAAGATTCACCCCACTGA